ACAGTTTGTCTAAATTTACATTGTTGTCCAAATTTTTTTTTGAGTTTTGTACTGTTTATAGCTCAGTTGCACTGTTTCATAAGATCACTGTTTTGCATAAGGGCATGCTACTTTGCAATCTTTTGTTTTTAAATAAACTTTGTATTTTTCTATAATTAGAATGTTTAACCAAATCAGAAAATCGGATTGTTATGCTTCTTCCATTCGATGCTACGGCTACATTTGGTGGTAAATGCAATGAGTGAACATTTCTGATTAATATAACCACTGTGCTGTTCAAACGGTAAAGCAAGTTACCGTAAATCTGCTCTTGATTCAGCGTGTTTATACCACCAGTCATGCCATGTATTTCTCAGACTCTGAGTCATGCCATCGTCAGTGGGTTTTGTTGGACACACAAAGACACTGGCTCAGTTTTATAGCCGGTATCTCTCCTGAGGCTGGTCTTTAGATCCCTCCTGTCATGAACCTGTGGTATTTTGTACCTCTATCAATGCTAAGTTAATTAGAAAGCGGACGATGCTCTCCCAGTGTGGATGAGGCTGATAGAGGCGTGCCTCATAAGTTACAGCCCCAAATCCACTCCCCCCAACACATCTCATTTTGAAGTGTCTCCTTTAGCCTTGAGTAAACACCCTTCTTAATTAAAATAAATCTGCTCCTAGCCGATATTTCGCACCTGACAGACCCCCCAGCTACTGAGAAAGAAACAGAGATACAGTGGACAGATTTAGAGTGCAGGAATAAAGGAGAAAGCGGGGGGAGAGAGACAGCGATAGCACTGGTGGGGGCAGTCTACACTACTTTTCGCTGTATGTAAAGAAACGACCCATGTTGTTTATGGATGTGGAGCGTTGCATTCTCTGCGGGACGCCACCTGGGTCTTTTTACACTTTTCATTTGTTTACAGCACATAAACACTACAGAATGCTTTCCAGACTGGAATGCAACTTGTAGCCCCACGCACAAGGCTGGGACATAAATATTGTTTAATATGCTTTTCCTCTACAGAAACATCCAGAAAGACATTCTGTTCGCAACTTGTTCCATAAAGGCCATGTGTACATGCAGTGCTTTTCAGCTATGTGCTTCTTCTTAGTCTTCATGGTTTGAGGTAGTTAATGAGAGGAATGTTTTTTCAAGGAAAACAGACAGCCCAAGTTACCATTCAGTGCTATGGAGCACATTTGTTAGTGACAAAAGCAGTAAAGAAGCCGTTTTGATTAATCTTATTCTGTTCTTTATGGTTAATGGGACAACTTCCACGTTCTGCCACAGATTTATCATTTGCAGCTCATGCACCTATGCATCTCAATATATACATCAGTGTATTTTTTCCACATTTCTACTGTTTTAATGAAATTCTGTGGTATGTCTTGGTCCATAACTCTTCTCCTCCCCATATGATCCCTCTTTGTTTATCACTTTGGACCCGGCACTGACTCCAGCTTCAGCTTCCAACATCTACCCCCACTGTTAGCTACTGAGGCAGGCAACAAAAGAATAAATCATTTAATGTGCGCTCTTCAGACATTGCATTTGAATATCAAGACAAATCACTTTATTTTCTTTTTTTTTCCTCAGCGACTGCATGCCCTGCCAGCGTTGCAGTGAGAAAGCTGTGCGAGTTTCAGAAAGCAAATTAGTGTCTAAAATATGATCATAAACCTGTTGTAGGGTTACTTACTTTTACTTGCTTAGTTCATGTCCATGTTTGACCTTTAGGTACAAAATAAGTCATTATTAGTTTTCACATTACTTTCACAACAGCAAAAAAGGCTGTTATTGTTTACTGTGCCTTTAAAGGGGCCCAATTCATGGAAAAGCATTTTTCCCCCCTCTTCTGAACGAAGAGTTTGTTGAAGTGTGTAAATGTTGTTAGTTTTAAAAAGTACAGTTCACTCTTCAATCCATATTTGAAAACAATTTTAAGTCTTATGTCTTAAAGGCAAAACAACAAACCTGAATTTGATATAGAGAGGTTGGAAGATAATCATATAAGAACTGTTTCTGATACATAAACTCACACAAGTGTCATAAGTGGAACTCCCTTTGCAAGCATTTTAAGAAAGAGATGCAAATGACCTCTGTTCTGATTGGCTGTCCTATAGTGTGCCACATTCAAAAAGCAGATCATGCTGAAACACTACTTAAAGTGAACAGGCATGGCTGAACTAATGAATGGCTGAATTTATGTACAGTGGTAGTGACATCAAAAACATTAAATTCAAAATGGGCTTTTTTTGCAGCTTAGGTTCCATAAGAACAATGAATTTTGAAATTTTAAGAATGTTTCTATATTCAAACTTCCTCGTTGCTCTTGAAATAGCACTGTGACGCTGCAGGCAGCACTATGAACGCGGAGTCTGTATGTGGGCAGGTAGGGAGCTAGGGGAGGGGGCATGTATAGGTATTTCTCTTTAAGTGCTTGTTTTGAATGGTTTTCTGAGAGCTGTTTTCAGGTGCTTTAATTCGTCTTTGATGTCAGACATCACTCGTACAAGGGGTATTCCAGAGCGGAAGCAGACCCTCATACTGTGGGGAGAAATGCCTGTACAGGTTCAGCGAGGACATCTGAGGAATCAGGCTTCATTTGATGATTTTTTTCCACCTCTTCTTTAATCAGCTTCGCTGCCTTAGCTTTGCTGGCATTGACTCATTTTTTGCTGTAAGTTCAAAGGCATCATTTGTAGTAGTTCACTCTAATTTACTTCTTGCTTTTTTGTTTCACATGAAATAACCTGCTGTCATATAAAATGCCAAACTCCTAAGACAAGGGAAAGAAATGTAATTGAACATTATCTGACACATCAGACATGTTTTGGTTCATGTAGTTTTTTCAGCCTTTTTGATCCCTTAAAAAATCATAGACGAATGTCCATGTGATGTTAGACATATGTGTATTATTATATAGATAGATAGATAGATAGATAGATAGATAGATAGATAGATAGATAGATAGATAGATAGATAGGGGCATGTGAAAAACACGTGCAAAACACTAAGTGTGCAGAATGTCAGTGGAGTGTGGCTGGGTTATTTTTTGTGGGGAAAATAATGTCTCTTGTCTGTTATAAGAGGCTGGAGATGCCGCTGGGAGGAAATCAGATGTATGCATATTATTATTTCGCTGTTAGGTTTATGTGTATTAATATTAGTATTCTGGTTTTGCCTTACTGGTTTTTCTTGGTCTTGATAAAAACACCCACCCAAGTTCAATTGACCGACGTTCTGAAACTGCGGTACCCACTTTGGCCATTAAGGGGAGCTGATGTCTCATCCACGAGGGCCTGACACTGCAAGAACTCTGACGGGAACCTGATGAAAGTGTGAGAGGGAAGCAGACCAGTGCTCATGGTCAGCAAAGCTGCTTATTTTGGCCTAGGCCATCAGACAGTCCTATCATCCTCTTATCATAAATCTAACGACTATGAAGAATATGTTAATGTATACAACATAGATAAGCTGTGAGTGAGTAAATTTGGCTCAGTTTTATTAATCATTGCCTTAATTTTGTAAATCAGGGAAAAAAAGGCAAAACTACTTAAGTCAAGATGTGCCTGATGTGTCAGGTAATCTTCAGTCTTTTCTCCATCACTATAAATGAGTATCAATAAACAAAAGCTATTATTTGGGAAACCTTGTACGATAAAGCGAACTACTACAAATGATGCCTTCGAGCTAACAGTGAAAAATGGGTCTGTGCCAGTAAATTTAAGACTGATTAAAAGAGCTCTGGACATAAAGCCTGATTTACATCCAAATCTCAGTACAGAGTAACCTCTCATTTGAGAGAGTAAAGAATAACAGATCAGACACCGCCATGCAGTGTTTATTTTACAGACTGTGCTGGGTGCATTCAGAATTACGACTTTATGCTAATATTAGCATGTAAATTGGTTTCCCAAGTCAGTAAATGACATTTCTGTGTTTGTGTGACTAAAGGAGGCAGTAATTTCAGCTCTTGCAGGCGCTCCCATTAAAATTAAACTGTAATGAGCGGAAAGGTAGCAGTTTAGTAGGCCAGTTTGAAGGACTTGCACTGCTTTGCTTGTCGTTGGAGGGCTGAAACTTGTGTTACATCACAGTTATTCCAGGATTGTCGTTTATTTGTTTGTTTTTGGTTGTATTTCTTGGTGCTACAGAATATCACCTGACATGCATTGAAATTATGTGACTTAGCTAATGAACACTCTTGCTTGTTTGCTCGCTAGCAAAGAAAGACAGCCGTTATTGACGGAAATTCCCGGATGTAAAGCGAAAAAAACAATTAACGTGTCACGGTTCATGTCGAATAAATAAATGTTTTTGGGAGATTTCAACACATTATAGCATATAACCTACATTCCTTAAGGTAGCTGCTGGATCATGGCTTTCATTTTTATGGACGTTTGGGCGACAGACGTGATATCTTATAATTTAGCCGTTATTCTCAAATTGACGAAAAGGCCCGGATGAAAATGGAATAAAACAGTAACGCCTAAGACTTTCACAGTTGGTAAAATAATAATGCCTCTTTGACTTCTACGCTACATAAAATAAACCAGGCAGGTTACACAGAAGCATTGCCACTATAATGTGCTCCCTTTCTAACGACTATTCGCCCGCTTCGTGTTCGAGTTTCCCCGTTCCACCTTAAATGGTGCAGCAGTTGCGTTCTGGCGCCTCTGGAACAAATTCGAACATGAGGCGCCAGAAGGTAGCAGCTGTACCATTTAAGGTGGAACGGGGAAACTCGAACAAGTTTGAACAAATTCCAATGTGAAGTGCCATAATGTAACTGCCTCATTATTTAAGGTGAAACGGGAAAATTCGCACACGAAGCTGGCGAATAAGAAGTCAACTTCAGCCTCGTTCTCTAACGTGGCTCCTGTGTGCACTTACTCGAGCCACCAGCAGTCTCTCCCTCTTCTCCTCCTCCTCCCTCTCCCTCTCCTCCTCCCTCTCCTCCTCCTTGGCTGAGCCGGGCTGCTCCTGAGTTAGATCGCTGAGCGCCCAGCCCTGCTCTGCTCTCCTGCTCTCCGTCGGTGCATTAGCCCAGCTGCACGGGGCTTGGGGCGGGCTGAGCGGAGCGCCTTCCGCGCTGAGGCACAGTTTGGGTTCGGGTGCCACTGGAGGAGATCGGCGAGGTACTACAGGAGTGTGTGAAGGAAAAATAGGAAGGAGGAGAGGAGTTAACACTCTGGACACGCGGAGGTCGCGGCAGATGAGTGGAAGAAGAAACAGCGCGTTTGGATATTTTCGTTGGGTTGTTTTTGGACCGTGGCACTGGCCATTTAACAACATCTTTGGCACTGTATATTGGGCTTTTTAACGCACGGGGGCTTTGACTGGCTGACTCTTGTACCTTAGTGCCCACTGGGCTGGGTGTTTGACTCTAATAACACTGGTCTGTAACTGGCTCTCTAGTACACCGGGCTGTGGAGTTTCTCTCACTATGACCCCGCTGAAGGCGCGCACACCCCGGCGGGCTTCGGACAGACCCTGAGCCAAACAGGAGAGCGCACCACAGGATCAGAGAGAGGAGAGAGATAGAGAAAACTTCCCTCGGCTGAGGGTTGAAGCTGAACGCAGGAGAGCCGTGGATGTGCGCTGGAACAGGATGGGTCCACTAGCGTGGCTGTTCTTCTGTGGATTACTGCACTTTCAGGCTGATGGTGAGTTTCTAGGGACTAACAGTGTGGAGCTGTTTGAGTTTATACAGGCAGCCCGGAGCCTTTCATGTGTCTTTGGTCCCTTTCCTATGTTTGCGGACTCTTTAAACTATGTTTAGGAACTTTAAGTGTGTGGTTGGTCCCTGTAGTTTGTGTTTGTTGGTGGTTTTCAGAACCACCTCCGAGCCTTCCTATGTGGATTTAAAATCCAAATTTCAGTCTGTAGATGAGTGGTTATAGCAGAGGTTTGAGAGCTCGTCTCACTGCTGAAGCTGAGTGGAGCGCGGTGGCGCCCAGTTGCGCGGGCAGACAGTCGCGCACAGTGGGACCCTCACCCGCCCGCCCCCCTCCACACACAGTGGCATACACACCTGCCTATGTTCAGCCAGGAAACAATGTCAGAGTAAGAAAGTTATGTTTTCTTGTGGAGCACTATTGAAAAATAAAGATTCTTGGCTTGGATAGGCTGATTGGTTCCTGGCTTCTGGAAGCCTTTGATTGATCTAGAACCAATTAAGGAGGTTCTTTAATCTTCAGAACAAGGTTCTTCACACTCACACACCTCATTTACAAACATGAATCATACACTGAAAGGTTCTCTAGGGAACCAAACATGGTCCCTTAATGGCCTTGCACCAAAACAGCTTTTAATGGCACTTTTATGTGATGCTATTGTGTTATAAGCATCATGTTAATATCTCACTAGTTCCATATTTTGTGGGAATGGAAAGGGAGCATGCAGCAAAAGGTGTTTACTGGGTGGGGTGGGGGGGATATTGGATGAAATACCACACTACAGTGTACTGAGCGTGTTGAACTGCTTTTTGGGAGGTGTGGTCCTCACCCAGGCACTGCACTGCTGTCTTCTGTTTCCATTCCTGTTTTATTCAGATTTGGTTCAGTCTGATTTTATTCAAAGCCCAAATAAATGCTATGTTGAGATAAATTGCATAGTGTTGATGTGAACCTACTAAAACGAATAGTAAATATGTCATTCATGCATTTGGTTTGTTTATTACAACATATGTCCTCATTAGATGTTTAGACTTGGAATGTTAATAGTGGAATTAGCGTCTGGATATATAACAATGATCAGTGATGGGTTTGTTTCCACTGCCAGTCCTGAATAGGAGAGTGAAAAGTGTCATTTCATTTGGCAAAAAATAATGATTTTCCATGAACTTAGATATGCAATTACCAGACACACAGATGCAACCTGTGTGGTTCAGGTATGCGCCATTAAGTAGAGTATTGCTGCGGTTGATTACATTAATGCAGTGGGGCTGAATTTTGAGCGCAGCTGAAGCCTGCGATCAGGAAGCGTTTTATGTTTTCTTCTGTTTTTCGTTGGAAGTGAGTGGTATTAACTTTATTTGCCTGAAAAATACAAAGCTGCTGTTGAGTTAATGTATAATTTATTTGTGTGAACTGAACAGCTGTGTTTTAGTTCACGTTAAGCAGTGTTTGCTTTCGTGTGTTTTTGTGCTTTAATGAAAAAAAAGCCTAAAGATCTCTAAACTGACTGGTGGATAATAGAAGGAGGCTTGAGCCTCCGGTCTACTCTTACTTCTTATTTTCTTCCCACCCGCTTTTCTCCCCTCTCTCTGCTTCTTCAGTCTCTTTCATTCACATGTTATTCGTACGCTATATTATTTTTTCCCCACCATTTCTACCATTCTCCCCATGGAGTCTATGTGTCTAGCCCATTGAAAATCTGGTCAGTCTCTCTCTCTCTCTCTCTCTCTCTCTCTCTCTCGCTCTCTCACTCTCTCGCTCTCTCTCTCTCTCTGTTGCACTCTCGCTCTCTCTCTCACTCTGTCCACTGGTTGCTAGGCGCAGTCTGAAGGTATGGGCCAGAGGGCTGTGCTGAAGCTGTAGTGAATCACCCCAGCAGATCGTTGCCATGTCAGGGTGCTTGCTGGGGCTTTTGGGGGCTAATCTGCGAATGCCGTGAGAGGGAGGAGCTGAGGGGCTTCCGAGAGTTTCCTCTCCAGACACACAAAAACGCTATGGAGACGCATTGAGAGGAGGGCAGTGTTCGGAACAAAGCTGCCCCAGGACTGAATGGCCCCGACCCATCAGTTTGTTCAGGGCCACCATGATTAATGCTACTGCGAGGAGAAGGGAGAAGGAGCAGGGGGGGAAGTTGGGGATTTTGGGGTGAGATGCTGGTTGGAGAGAAGCAGAGAGTTTTCACTGTGCTTTGTAAATTCACAAAACAGTGTTCTATTAAAGTGAAACAATAGAGCTCTTTTACACCTTGCATTAATATGAGTTTCATTTTTGGATCTTATCTGGAGATACTTTGGCCAGATTCCTTTTACACATTTACTTTTCAAATCAATACGTCCCAGAAATCTGACACATTCGTAAGTTTCCTTCCAGTAACCTACTCTAAGTGTGGTTTCTCACCTGTTTCTACCCGTTTATGATATTCTGTCAGCATGCACCTGCTGTGATTTCTGCAGTGGTCAGTGCCACTGCTGTCCAGAGGACTTTGTGTGAGAGAGAAGTTAAGACGTAGTGTATGCAAATATACAAAATGCATTCTCTGCTGAAGATGCGCTCGACATCTGTCTCTGACTACAATGATCATAATCTGACCACAGTGCGTCCTCACCTGTATATGACCCCATGTCCTGACAAGGTATGAAAACAAGCCTGCGTGTGTGTCCATGTGCGTTCAAAGCGGCTCAGTCTCTGAACTGCTCGCACTTTTTTGTTTAATCTCTTATGTTACTGAGGAGTAGTGGGGATGAGTTGAATTCTTTCCTCTGAATGGCGGTGAAAAAAAACGACGCTGGATGTTTGATAGTAGCGATTAAGGGAACAAGCTCGGCGTAATTGAAAGCAAGCTGCAATTAAAAGCAGCGTTTGTGGGGCCGTGGCGAGGTCACCGCGTAAGAGACACAAAAAGCCTTGCTCAAACAGGATTGTTCTGCACTAGTTGGCAACGCTGTGGAGCGTCGCTATTGTAATTGTAGCTCATTTTCGGGGATAGGCCTGTGGTAATGACTAGCACTCCCCTGAATCCTCAAGACAGCCACACTGGAGCCTAACTGCGTGTGTCTGTGTGCATGCATGTGTGCGTGTGACAGTTTTGCGCTCTGATTAAATGCGAAAAGCACGGGCTCTGATGAGGGTGAAGGAATGTGAGAGGCAGTTGAAGTGAGAGCAACACAATGAGACAGAGAGAGAGAGAGAGATGTATAATGAGGGTTAAAGAGTAAGGTCAGTGTGTGCTCCTCTCTGACTCGCGGCTCTCTGCTGTTATTGTTCTGCAAGTGTGGGTGTGAGTGAGGTCTCTCGCTCCATCTCATTAGAGCGGCCCACTACACACACAAGCCAAAGAGTATCAGCACCCGGACCACCTCTTTCATTGTACATTTCAGAGTCAAGCAAAAATCTCTACAAATACATAATCACTTCATCACTTTCGTTAAAAAAAGGTAATGTATTTAACATAATAACTAGACAGAATTAATCTGATCCAGTCTTGTAACAAACCTATCTTGAAATAGTGCTCATTCACACTGTGTTGTTGCTAGATGTATATTTTCCTGTGGTGCAGTAGTTATGAGCGTTTGGGTAGTTGATAGCTGGTCAAAGGCTTTGGCACACCTGATTAAATTTGTGTTTAAACACAATTTGACACAATTTGATCTGAACACAGTGGCCCCAAAATATATTCAGACATTTGTGCTATACTTAAAAATGTAGTACAGTCGTTATGTGTGGAAACAAAACGTTGAACCAAGTGGCTTTTATTTTAAACAGACAGTTCCGAGACCGTAATTCTCTTTTTGCAAGAGTACTCTATCAAAGGCAGCTGGCTTGTATATCAGATTTCAGTTAGTGTTTGAGCAGTTTCTTTGCAGACTTCTGCAAGTTTGGATCCAAAATACCTTTGTACACTTCTGAGCTCATGATCCTGTCAATGAACACAAGCTCACTGTCACCATTGTAAGAAAAACTCCAGCTCCAGGAGTTCGCATTTCCACCTCTGTGCTTTACAGTAGCCTTAGCGCAGTCTGGTTGTAAGACTCTACTAGAAGTTTGATGTTGTGCTAAAGTGTTTTTCTCTGAAGTATTATTTTGTTAAGCTTTTTATGAAGTAACCGACGATGTCCAAATACTTTTGAGACATCTGTATGCTCAAATATTTAAATTGGTTTGTAAGATAAAAATAAATACAACAATGTAGTTTTCAGCAGCCAGCAAGGTCTTAGCATATGTACACTATATGGACAAAAGTATTGGGACCTACACATTACACCCACAGAAGCTTTTATGACATCCCATACTAAATTCAAGGCCATTAATATGAGGTCCACCACTCCCACCTTTGCAGCTATAACAGCTTCCACTCTTCTGGGAAGCTTTTTACAAGATTTTGGAGAGTGTCTGTAGGAATTTTTTCCCATTCATCCAGAAAAGCATTTGTGAGGTCAGACATTGATGTTGGATAAAAAGGCCTGACTCACAATCTCCGTTCTAGGTCATCCCAAAGGTGTTTGATGGGGTTGAGGTCAAGGCTCTGTGAGGGTCAGTCAAGTTCTTCCACACCAAACTCACCCAGCCATGCCTTAATAGACTCTTGCTGGGGCACAGTCATGCTGGAACAGAAAAGGGTCTTCCCTACACTGTTCCTACAAAGTTGGAAACATACAATTGTCCAAAATGTCTTCGTATGTTGAAGCATTAAGTTCACTGGAACTAAAGGTTCTAGGCCAACCCCTGAAAAACAACCCCATAGCATTATCCCTCCTCCACCAAGCTTAACAGTTGGCACAGTGCAGTCAGGCAGATAACGTTCTCCTGGCATTCGCCAAACCCAGACTCGTCCATCAGACTGCCAGATAGAGAAGCGTGATTAGTCACTCCACAGAATACGTTTCCACTGTTCCAGAGTTAAGTGGTGGCGTGCTTTACACCAATTCATCCAATGCTTGACATTATACTTGGTGATGTAATGCTTGTATGCAGCTGCTTGGGCATGGAAA